AGCCGACCATATAACAAACTCTGTATTTTGAGTGGAAATGTTAGGGGGTCGTCTTATACGCCCAGTCGTCTTATACGCCGGCAAATACGGTACTTTAAAGAATCAATTGAGAAATCAGTCTATAAATTCCAATTGGTTCACATTGTACAAATTGTAGAAGGTGAAGGGGGCAGGGGCAGAATTTTTAAAACACCTTAATCATTGAGGGAAAATTTGAGAGAAGTTTACAGCTAGTCACTTTTGATACTGTTCTGAGTGACTATTACTGTACAAAAGAGATTCATCCTGTAACATTGTGTCTTTTGAATATTTTCTCATTTAAATTGCTAAGTGTATTCGTGGGAGGGAGTTATGCTTATAAATACTTGACTATAGAAATGACCTGGAGGACGTATTCAGTTATTTTCTCCTAATAGTTTCAGGTATTATCTTTCCCTGTGCTTGGCATCAGCGATAAGGTAATGGATGACCCCTGGATACAACTCCAGGGCTTTGTAATAGTCACGAGGACTGTGTGTACAGGAGTGTGACTCACACAACAGCGACCCTAACCTCTGCCTTTGTTCTTCAGGATATGGTTAACCGGAGAATTGCAATGGACATGATCCTGAAGATGGCAGATTCCCAGCGTTTCAGACAGTTTATCTTGCTTACTCCTCAAAGCATGAGGTAACTTTTAAAAACTCGCGTGTGTGTGTGTGTGTGTGTGTGTGTGTGTGTGTGTGTGTGTGAAGTATATAAAAGAGAAAAAAGAAATCTTTTCTACTCTTAATGTTTAAAGTGCAAATGTATAAATGACCGAAAAATAAAAAATTAGCCCCTCTACTGGTTCCAGAGATTTAAGATAATTTTTTCTTTTTAGATATTTAAAATTTTGTTTGTGTCTTCTCCCTTCCATAACAGAAGCAAGTTGATGTGAATGATTATTGGCTTGTTTCTTTTCTATTTTTAATCTGCTCTTCTGTGGTTATCATGACCAGCTAATGTAAAATAATTTTAGTAATTCTATTTCGACTAAAGAAACAAGTCATAATTTCCCTAGTCTTGGCTCTTTTTGTGGTTGGTTACAAGTACCAGTCTTTCTAAAGAGCTCTACTTAAGGTGTCAGGCCCTATGTCACCTAAAGAGTCAATATTCCCTCTCTAAAGTGGTCACTTTGATAATATGGGGATTTAAATTTGTGATTAGAAATATTCAGGTAACTCCTTTCTGGCTAGATAAGAACAGAGTTGGAAATAGTTCTATATAAATTGCCTTCATTTTCTTTTTCCTCCAAACTGAAAACTCATGGCATTTTAATTTTTAAACATAAAACAAATTATTTCCTTATTTCTCCTGGAACTTCAGATTTTCAACATATCCCCTTATTAGCAGATAATAGCCATTTAGATTTATAGTTTCATGAGTGAGTGGTAGAATTTTTTGTAATGTGAGAAAAAATTCCTGGAAATTTCAGTAATTAATTTTACTTCCTCTAGCTCACTTCCGTCAAGTAAATTGATTAGAATTCTTCGAATGTCTGATCCTGAAAGAGGACAAAGGACATTGCCTTTTCAACCGGTGACTCAAGAGGAAGAAGAAAATTGAAGTTGATTTGTAACTTAATATGCCATGTCTTCACATTGAAAGATTTGTAGAGGGAAAAAAATTCAGGGCTATTTGATTGAATAAAATGAAACAAAAGATATTCTAAAATAAAAGAGATTCCTTTATATAGCTAACCACAATAAAATATGTAAATAAGCCTAAAAAACCAACTACAACAAGCAATTTAAAATTACTGTTACTTTACTTTGAGAAAATCAGTTTCATAGTACTGGTTTTAAATCTTTTTAAGTTTGTGTCTTTGTTTTATTTTTAACCATCTACTTTTATAGATTCTTTTTCAGAAGTAAAATTTTGTACATATGTACATGTACATATCTGTTTCATTTGGTATTTCATTCTATAGTATTTTGTAAGAATTAAAATAAAAGTTTGCGTACCTGATTCTATTTAGTTTTGCTTTTCCAGAATTCTGCATTCTCATTGCAGGGGGTGGGGTGCAGAGCCTGCAGATGGGGACCAGTTCACAGTGGATTTTTTTGTCTGGTTTCTGCTTATTAATTATGGGAGACTTACACAGAACTTTAAAAAATCTGGTCAGAGTCCCTGCACAGGTGTTTTTTAACCTAGAGATACTGTAGATTTGGCAGCACTTCTAATTACTGTGTTTCATCAAATCTAACATGCTGTCTATAAGATACGGACGAAACACTAAAGCACCGCCCTTTCAGACAATGCCTTTCTCTCGGTCCTTTAACTGTCGTCCACTCAGCTAAGTGTCTAGCCCGGGTCAGGACTGGGTTATGACACGGTTCTGCACCTTGGCCTGCAGCATGCTTGCCTGGCTTAAAGTCCAGTTTTCAATCCAGGCGCACACAAGCCCTGGCTCAGCGGACAGGACACAGGCCAGAAGGACACTGCGGACCCAGCCAAGGTGGGACGGAGGGGGCTTCCACTGGACAAGGAAAGGACCAGGAGCCAGAGGCCCGCCTGTTGATGGTGAGCTGGCATCAATTATAAGACACATCCTGATTACAGAGTTGTTGAAAAACATGCTTCTTAGAATGATAAAATATAGTGTATGGAAGAAATGGTATTTATGAACTTTTTTTTTAAAGAGCATGACTAGGACTGCTGCCTTCTCTGTTTGATGTTAGGATTAGTGTTAAACTTTTTAAAAACAGGTGGATATCCAACAAGAAGCCATCCCTAGATTGGTAGCAATCAATACTTAGGAAATTGAAAAGGAGGTGTTTTAGGGGAAAAGGCAGTATTTTTAAAGTAGCAGCTCATCAATAGTTACTGTGAAAAACTGGATTATGTTTTTTATTTTAGTGGAGGGAGGAAGTGTAATTTAGCCTTAATTGAGATCAATTGGCAAATGAGAAGTCCAAAAACGTGTGCTTTTCTAATGTAAGAATTTACAGAAAGAGAAAATGTATGCTGAATGTTTTAAACATCCCCCAGTAACCCATACGAAGTCTGATTTTTTTAGTTACATTTATAACTAATGTCCATCAAAACCATTTTAACATACATGTGCTTTTCAAATAAAAAATGAAGTAGAGTAATGCATGTAGCATAATTTCAGTGTCTGAATTTTTGTGATGGTTTTCTGAATGTCACGATTCTTAATACAGAATGTGAATCAGGTACCCAAGCATCTCCTTCCAAGTCGAAGATTATTCATTGCTTTGGCCTCACAAAGTTTTGGTTTCAACTATCCTAAATGAAAATATCTTCAATTAATGTTCTAATTAATATTAACATCAATTAGAATAAAAAGCAAAGAAAATTGTTCATTTAAAATATGTGGAACTTCTAAAAAGAAAACTGAGTTTATATGTGTTGAGTGACTGAAATACATCACACAGGTGATTCCTCAACCCCTAGTTCAGTGCAGCTGTGACAGCTGAGTGATGAAGTCCTGGGAAACAAGGACGAAATTCTTGAGCCTCTTAACCCCACCTTCTCCAATCTTGGAGGCGGACTTGATGAAAATCATTCTTAAAGGGACAGATGTGATGAGTGTTAGTAAACCAAGGTGTAAATAATATAGCTACTCAAGCAGGTAATCAACACTAAAGATTCAGGCGTTGCTGGCTTCTTAAATATTTTCCGTTTCATCTCCCTCCCATTCTTTTGTGTCTTAGTGTTTTTTGTTTTGTTTTTGCATGTCTTCAAAATGCCGGGGCTGTTTATATATGCAGATCCAAATGCTTCAATTCTGAGTCAGAAACTATTGGCTGGGACTCATGAGCTGGAATAGAACTGGTGCCGACTGATGAAAACCCAGTGATACAGAGTGTCTGATTAAAAGTCTGAGTATAAATTAGGACAATTGATTATGTCCTGAGTCACTAATTCTGTTAGTTAGATTTATGACTCCTTTATATATTACATGATGCCTATACTTTGACCAAGTCAGAATTTCAGAATTGGTTTGAAACTCACAGTTCTAAAAGTTTAAATAGTCACTGAAATTCCATGTCTTCAACTAAATGACCATGGACTTGAAGATATGTAAAAACACCTAATAGGAACAGGTTCTGTTCTTTAAAATAGTAATAATGGGAATATAAATTAGCTGTTTCCTTGAGTCAGCAAATGGTTTTTTTTTGTCTTAATTATATATAATATTGATACCTAACCTATTAAATTTTGGCTAACGCATCTGGATAGAATGCATGGAGACTAAGGTGGCCTTGAGAATACTCACTAATCAAGCTTAAGAGGACTTTCGCTGCCCAATTTTTCTCCAGTTTAAGAATGTAGAGATGAATTCATTATAAGTGATTAAGTTCCTGCCATGTGCTAGCAAGTACTTTAAGTACTGGGAATACCACTGAGTAACATTCCATCTGTCCTCATGGAGCTGACAGTCTAGAGGGGAACAATACCGTATGTAGTTTCAGATAATGGTAATTGTTATGAATAATAAGCGGGAAGGAGTTGAGAATTGAGTGGTATTTCGGATGGAGTGTTAAGGGAAGACTTTGCAGAAGGTGGTTTAAGCAGAGGCCTGAAACAAGTGGGAGTTGTAGGGCATCAGTTTCAGGCAGAGGAAATGAGTGCAAAAGGCCATGGGGTGAGCGAGCTTCGTGTCCAGGAATCGTGAGACCAGTATGGATGGAGCTTAGTGAGCAAAGGGGATGGCTAGGGGACGAGGTTCAGAGGCAGAAGCGAGATCAACTGTGGTCCTAAGTCCTAAGCACGTTCTCAGACCTGGTCTAGGAAGCATTTTCAAAGACACCTCCCCCTCCCCCCGCTGCTGCCTGATGTAGAAAGAGCAAGCAATTTGGAGGCTCTTACAGTGGTCCAGGTGAGGTCATGGTGAGTTGGATGAAAGTAGTAGACATAGAAGCATTCAAATCTGAAATCTGGAGGCAGTGGCACTTGCTGATGAGAATACTGTGAAGCTGTGAGAGCGGAATCAAGGATAATTGGCCTGGGCCCTAAAAACCTGCATGAATGATGGTACCAGGTGTGGCGATAAGGAAGGTGTGGAGGCGGAGGAAAGCATACTGGTGCTTGATGGGTAACTGCACTGGTAAGTGGGAGAATGAAAAACAACATGACTTTAGAGATCTATATTTTACCTGCAACATGCTGGGGAAAATCCAAATTGTGTGCTCAAAATATTTGGGAGGAAACTTACTCCTAAGAAAGGTCCTAAGGGGACCTTGTGTCACTTTATTTAGAAACTCTAATTGACTATCCGTTTCTCACTGTACCCCATACACATCCTGCACTGTAAGGCTCTCTGAACACATCCATCTACTTCCATGTTTTACTTCTTGACATGATTTCCAACTTTGTGGAGGAAATAAACATCTGGCCTCTCTAAGAGGTAGTTCGTACTAGTCCAGAGACTGACCCTGAATGCATTACAGGAAAAATGAAGCTTTAAAGCAATATAATTCCCTTTTTAAATTAGTTTAGAGTTATTCAAGAAATAAAGGAAATAAGGAGACTTCAGACTTCTAGATGCAGAAAGAGTTGAGGCTAGAGAATAAGGCATTTGGGGGCGCTGCCCTCAGAGCAGAAGCAGGAGTTAAATAATTAACATGGTAATTAAACTAGAAGCTGAGTCTAAGCTAGAGCCAGTAGAACCCAGGCCCACTTGGATGATTAGAAGAAGCCTGTCGTCGGTCCTTTTCCAGGGACTACCATGGCCTGTTGGGATATTGGGGTCCATGAGGAACCCCGTTGCTGAGGTATGTGGGTGTTTAAATGGCACTCAGCTGCAGAGGGTAGTGTTAAACACGCCTGATCGTGGCTCACCTTGCGTGTTGTCTGCAGTGCTAATTTATCTCCTTCAATCTCCACTCTTCATTCCCTGTGGCAGACGGCATTTTCCAAAGATGGCCACAGCTGTAGATCCTAAATAGTAGTAGTCTAAGTCCCTTCTGCTTAATCCGGGCCAATGTTTATCTCACTTATAACCACTAAAATGCAGTAGAGGGCAGGCCGAATAGCGTGTTGGTTAAGAGTTGGCTTGGGACGCCAGCTCTGAGCAGCAGGGCCCCGGTTTGGATCGCACATTAGGGCCAGTGACGCTGTGCCCTCTACAGCTAAAATGGTGAACAACAGCTCAACCTGGAGCTGGCCTGCGGTTAGTTGCAGGTGTCGGCGTAGGTTGCATCCCCTGCTGCAGTGGGCTGCTACCTTCGTGAGCTGCCAAGAGCCACCGTGAGCGGCCGTCCAGTGGCCGGCGACTGATCTGCCTCAGCTGGGAAGAGTGCAATGATCATACCAACATGGGCCAGTGAAGCAACGTCCTCCACAACTAGACTGAAGAACCAAAGGACAGCAACTTGTCTGTTCCCTTCCCCCGATTCCCCAATAAAATTAAAAAAAAAAAATGCACTAGAAACAACACTGTGTAACTTCTAAGGCTGAGTCAGAAAAGGCACTGAGAAGAACTGAAAATCCCACCAAGGTCTCTGGAACACACCTGCAGGGTCACTGTGCTGCCCGAGAAGCAATCTGACTCCCCTGGGGCTGCCACATAGTGAGGAAGCCGGTGGAGAGCCCACCGGGAGGCGCCCTGAGCTGATGTGAAGAAAGAGGCACCCAGCCAGCCCTCGGCTGCTGCAGCCCTATTCTCCCCATCTCACTAAAACTGCAGGAGGGTCCCCACGCCACAGCGGCCCAACCGAGCCATTCCTGAATTCCTGGCCCACAGCAACCATGAGAGATAATGTAATAATTGTTCTTTGAAGCCACTAAGGTTTGAGGTGATTTGTTGCACAGAATTAGAAACCGACAGATTTTGGTATCTGAAAGAAGTACCCAAATACTTCATAGACTGCGTAGATGTCTGACCACTGTGCTATACACCTGAAGCTGAAGTTGAATAATATTGAATGTCAACTGTAATTTTATATATATATATATATACACATATATAATTTATTTATTTATTTATTTTTATGGGATGTGGAGTACAACATAGGGAATAGAGTCAATGGAATTATAACAGCTACATACAATGTCAGAGGGGTAGTAGACTGGGGGGTTATCACTTTGTGAGGGGTGCAAATGTCTATTACATTGTTTTGTACACCTGAAACTAATAATAAAAAAGACGTACCAAAATAAAAACAATGTTGCTGGAAGGACCTTGCGGAGTTAGATTCATGAGCACATCGTAAAGGCCTTCAGGGGAGTGTTAGTGGAAACTTAAAGGGTCTCAAGGATGCTTTTGGTGAGAGCTGAAAGAAAGAAAGGAAAATGCAATTGGAAGCGGGAGAAAAGGGGCCCCTGGTTATGGAGTGGTGGGAAGTTTGGCAACATCGACCGCTACGGTCACCTGGAAAAGAGGAAATGGATGTAATCCTGGTGAGCTAGCCAAAGAGATTTCTAGGTAGAATACGACAAGTACCTCCTGGCTTCTTGCTGCCCCGATGAAATGTGAGAGGAGTGTGATGAACCAAGAACAAGCTGTTACATATGAAAGAGCCAGGACTAGTTCTTTCTTATTCCCAGACTTTCTTCCGGGTGGCAACTGATTTTCAAATTATGAAATGGCGGTCATGCAAAAATCAAACCAGGGTAAGACTTCGGACCCTTTCCTAGGACCTCAGAAAAAGGGAAGGCAGTGCTTTCAGACCTTTACAGACAGAAGGCCCTGAGGCTACCGCCATGCCGCGAGGAAGCACAAACTAGTCCATGTGGAGAAGCCCCAAGACTACAGGAAGAGATTCCCGGAGTTTAGCTCAAGCCACCGTGTGACCAACTGCACGAGAGCCCTCAAGCCAGAATCCACCCCCCCCACACCCCCCCACCCCCGTCCTTCTCAAGTCCCTGACCCACAGAGGCCTTGGGAAATAACAACGATGGTTTCTGTTTTAAGCCAATAAGTCTTGGGGATGAGTTCTTGTGAAGCAAAAGTCACAGAACCACCATTCCCATTACCCTCTCCCCCAGCAACCATTATCGTGTGATATTCCCTTTTATTTTACATGACTTCGGTGTTCTTTTGGGAGAATGTATTTTTCATTTGTATCTATTACGCTGTGCAGTAGATTTTATTTTTTTTTCCCCATTGAGCATTAAAAAAACAAAAAAACAGATGTCCCTGTTGCTGTGTGTACATCAGTCTGTCGCTTCAGCTGAGGTGTAGAAAGCCACAGGATGCATTCACATTTCACTTACTATGCCTCTAGTCAGGAACCCTAGATTGCCTCCAACACCCACCCCACAAACAGAGCTGGCCCTCTGTGAGAGCTGCTACCCAGAAGTGGGAGTGCTGGGCCAGAGGGCACAGCCCCTACTCTAAGCGGGGACTGCGGGACTGCAGCCAGGGTGGCGGCACCGTCTACGCTGCCAGAGCCGTCCAGGCTGGAACAAGCCAATAACGAGATGGCCACTTGCTGGCCCGACTTCTCCATTTTGTTTATAAAAAGAAGCCACCCAGTCTGCTGGTAGGTTTGTTTTCCTTAAGTGTCCCGAATATCCACGTGGCTCATTTCATTCAGCTCTTACTTCTGATGTCACCCACCCACCCTGCCGCAAATCATCACTTCTGCCTCCCATCACTTTGCATCCCTCTTAGCTTACTGTGCTTCTCTTCATTGCTCATACATTTGGACTGGGTGTGTGTGTGTGTGTGTGTGTGTGTGTGTGTGTGTGTGTTTGGCTATTGTCTGTCTCCCCCAGTAAGAATGGTGTTGGGCGCATAGTATAAGTGGACAGTGAAGATTGGTTCTGAATGCGTTGCCCAGAGTGACTCCAGCCAAGTGCCGTCTTAAGGAGCCTCCCCAGCGCCTCACCCACCCCGTCCTCCCTTAGTTGGTCGAGAGTATCGGGGGGCACTGAACCCCTCCATCTTTCCCTGCCCCCACTTTGGACTCACCCGGCACAGGGGTTAAGGGAACTAGGACATTGAATTATTAGCCCCCAGGGCAATTCTCTTGGTTGCGTCAGTGTTTCAGGCCCCGTGGGTATCCTGAGTGTTTGTGCTGCAGTTTGCTTGCTCAGTTTCTTGTTGAATAAATGAATGGGATCCTTAGGCCCTGGTCTCTGGTTTTATTTAATGACCCTAAGACAGACAAAGGAAGAGTATTTAGAAAACAAAGCGCTCATAAAAAATGAATACTACAGCACTGCACTGTCTGATACTATATGAGCTACATGTGGCGAATTAAATTTCATTAAAGTGAAATGAGAAAGTCAGTTCCTCAGTCACACCAGCCATCCTTGACGTGCCCAACAGCCACATGTAGTTAGTGCAGATACACACGCGTCATCATCACAGAAAGCTCTACTGGACGGCAGGCCCTATAGAAAGAAACAGCTTCAGAGGCACGCTCTGAAAATGCAAACCAGCCTTCAGAGTTGATGGAATCTCTTCTGCCTTCCCTCCTCAAGGGTAAAAGGGTCAGAGTTTGGTTCCATCATTAAAAATAACAACTAATATCCTTTAGATTTGGAAAGACAGACATCTTCCTTCCTCCCGGCTTTTGGGGGATGCTTCCCGGCCTGCTGAACGTAACCTCCACAGAGCTGTGCAGAACTAATGCGCTGTCAGCACCACAGTCACACTGAGATAACGTTTATTTTCATATAATGAGCAGTTTTTGAAAAGGAAAAATGTTTATGTTTCATGTAAACTTGACATGCCGTATGAATTGCCCCACTTTTGAAGGCCAGGATGAAGAGTTGGAAAGTTGCTTTTTTTTTTCCCTTTCGTGGTCATTAGTTCTTTGAATTCCAAAGTTGTGTGTGTAAGGGTAGGTCGGGTACGTTGTTGCTAGCTGACCTTTGATAATTATGAATATCTGTTTCAAATTTAAAATTATGCAATAAGAATTGAGGGGAAAACTCAAATGTTATAAATTTATTTGGGACATCATATCGCCACCTCTTCATAAGCCTTTGAAAATTCAAGCAGAAATCAATACACTTCCATCTTTTTTTTTTTTTACTTTCAATAAATAATATCTTTGTGTATATGTCTATATAGATAGATAAACTTAATTAATGAGTCATTTAGCAGGATTTTTAAGTTTTACACTGCATTAATTCCAAAACAGCTCTTTCCAGATCGATACGATGCAAATGAGGTAAGAAGTAAGGCAAACCTAAAGGGCATGCAAGTTTAGTACATTTATATTCACTGATAATACAAGCTCTTGTGTGGGGGCCACACAAAGGAGCCAAGGACCCCTGTGTGTGTGTGTCCAGTACTATTTTACAGGAGAATGGTGACACAGCTTATAATTAAGTTACATTATCATGGGGGGAGGGGGGTCTCAGTGCTACTAACATTATGTAATCAAGGAGACACGAGCATTAGCAAAAACATGAACAAGAAATCATATAACTCTTTGCAGCACATTTCTGGCCAGGCTTTGGAGGAGGGTTTCTTTATGAAATGATATTACACATATCACATTGTGGCAGGTTGTTTGTTTTATAATATATGCTTTTTAAAATTCATTAGCAAATGACATTCTCATGCACACAAGTGTTTCAAACACAAGAAGCAAGTCCATTTATAGGTAGTCCAAGCAATGTGTGTGTGTGTGTGTGTGTGTGTGTGTG